CCCGGTAAAGCAGAGGGATGAAGGCTGGGGAAGAACCCCCACAAGGAGAAACCTTCACGGAGCACCTTGTGAAGCACAAGGCAGCCACAAGTGTGTGGAACCGGCAGCTCCAGGTCCTAGGGCGGTGCCTTTTTTTTCTCTCCTAAACGGACATTTGCCAGTCTGAGATGCACTTTTGCAGCACAGCGGGAGCCTTTCGAGTCAATGTGTCACTGAATTCTGCTCTAAAGGCAACTACATTGTTCTCTGGCATGTTCCTGCAGAAGAAGCAAACCACCCCCTCCTGTGCAAAAGCCAGAGGGCACGTTCAGTGTCTGGGCAGCCGGGGGCTGTTGTCATCTCACAGTGGTCACAGCAGCCCAGAGGGGCTGAGGCTGGGGGTCCCTCTGAGGAGTGTCCAGTCCAGCCCATGTCTCACAGCAGGGCCTGTTAGAGCAGGTACCTCATCCCAGTTGGGTATCCCACTATCTCCAAATAATGGACACTCCACAGCTCCTCTGGGCAACCTGATGCAGTATTTGACCACCTTCACAGAGAAAAAGTGGGCTATCATTTCCCATGCTTCAGTTTGTTCCCATTGGCCTCCCTGTGCATCCAAGAAAAGTCTGACTCCATCTTCAGGGTTTGAGGAAACCCCCGAATTTTTACAGCAAGGGGTATGCTTCCACCTTCGTGCAAAAAATTCAATCTGTAAAGCCAGAAGTGATTTTTCTGGGAAATATTGGCTCAGCTTTTCTCACAATGCTTTGTAAGGAATAGCTGGTTACATGAAAACTCATGAGGTCTCCATGCTTTCTAAGAAAACCAGGAGAGAAAGGGGGCTCATGTTACAGCAGAAGCCAAGAGCCTCCAAGGGCTCTGACATCAAGGGAGAGCAGCTCCAATCTAATTATACTGGGAAAACATCCTTCAGCAACAACCACTTCCCTTCCCTGCCTCTGCTTCCTGGGCTCCAGGCTCTTTCCAGAGGAAGAACTCTGGAGAATATTTAGGATTATTTATCCTTTTAGCAATGAGGTTTACATGAGCAGGTCTGGAAGTCGTGTGTCACCACCCTTACAAAATCCTCCCGTGCAGATGATCAGAGGAGCTGGCAGCTCTGATGCTCCCTTTGGCATTAGACCCTCCAGAGTCTGTCACTGCAGTGATGGAGCAGGACAGGATATTTATGTGACTTAAAAAACAGTAACATCTCCTCTCAACTCTGTCTCAGGCATGTACTGGATGCAGACTGCACAGTGTGGAGTTGAATACATACCTACATACCTCATTTATAATCATTCCTTCTTTTGGAGGCCAAAAAGGCCCTTCCTTCTTAGAAAAGAGCCAGGCAAGAGCAGGATGGCCCAAGACACGGAGTGCAGGCCCTGTTGGTACTCTCTGGGCTCCGTGGATTCAGGATCCTTGCCCGCCCTCCCTGTGCACACGTCAGTTCCTCAGCAGCTTCTCCCAGGCGGCCAGGCTGTTTTTCAAGAAGCAATTTCCTGCAGAGAAATATTTTTTTTTCAAGGAGCCTAAGTGGGGAGCTTCCTGGAGCAGGCTTTTCACAGGAAACCATTGTGAAAGCAGCTTCGCCACCCACCAGGAAGGGCTGTCAATGAGCAGGGAGGGTGCAGGCTGCACCCAGCTCTGTGTCCCCAGCCCAGCTTCCCCCCTGCGTGCCTGGGGGATGAGCTTTGTGTCCCTTGCCTGTCTCTACCTGCTGGGATGCTGGCTTGGGGCAGTGGAAGCAGCTGGATGATAAAGACCTGGGCTGGGTGCAGGGAGTGCAGAGTCTCCCAGGAAAGGTGCTGCTTGGCCTCTCCAGTGCCCAGCCTGTCCCTCTGGTGGGAGAAGCTGAGAGGAGACACGATGACTTTACCAGGCTTTGTCTCACCAGTCTTTGCGTTCTCCCTCTTCACTGTGTTGCTGGGTCTGATTTCAGGCAGGGCCACCAAATACAGGTTTCTCTCCACACGGGGCCGGGGTGGTCACTGCTCCTCAGCCTGTTTCTGGGAGGCACCTTGGTGTCTGGGTGCTCCTCTGAAATGCAAACCCTGCCAGGAGTTCTCCCCACTGCTGAAGGGGTGAGGCATCCCAGCTCAGCCCAGCTGTGGTGGAGCCGGGGCAGTCCCGGTGGCTTTGGCAGCGCTGCCTGGGATTTACCCCGTGGCAGATCAGAGGTAGCCTCAGCACCGTGGCAGTGCCTCAAATACCTGGCTATCAGCGAAACTCCAAAGTGCACCAGTTAAACCCTCAGCCAACACAGATCCTGGGGCAGCAGCTTGCACTGTGCTGCTGCTTCTCACCATGGGCAGCTTTAAAGTCAATTATTGCTCCCATCCTTTTAGTCCAAGGAGCAGGGCAGGTCTCCCAGTCCGTGTGTGTCTCCCCAGAACACTGCTTTTCATTCATGTAGTTCTTCTGGTTTGGATGTATTTGGTGGCTAGGAATGGACAGGTTCCTGCCCCACTTTGAGCTCTTACCACCTGTGCTGTGGCAGCACTGCTCTTTCATGGAGAAGTTCTCCTGCTCATCTGTGAAGATGCTCCAGTTCATGAGATTTTTTTCCTTGCACTAAATCCTTTGGTTTTGCAACCCCTCAGTGCATTTAAAATAAAGCTGAACAAACGCCAAGAAGCCATTTCCGTGAAGCGTTTCGGGAGCAAGGGGCTGGTTCCTCTTTCGGAGCACTGGAAAACAACTTCTGATTTCCTCCCAGAGTTAGTAATGTTCAGCTGAACCCCACTCTTTTTCCCAAAAAAGTTTAGTTTCCAGGAAACAGGGCTTTATTTTGAACACAAAGCATCTCTTGGGTCAAATTCTTCTTGATTTGCCTTTTTTTGTTTATATGTTTAATGTATTTAACAACGTTCCCGTTTTCTGTGAACTCATTCAGCAACCCCTGCCGATCACTGGTCCAGGCAGTTTGACCCTCTTGGGTACACTCACAACTCTTGGATACATATATATGACCTGCAAGAACATGACCTAGTACAGAGGGAACTGAACCAGGTCTCACTGAAGGGTCTGGTGCCTTCCCAACCCACCACTGGCTTAATTATATGACACTGGGCAGATCCCTTCCCTCTGTCTGTGTCCTGCTTCCCAGTCCTTGAAATGGGGTTAAAGTTCCTTCGTGCAACACTTTGCTGGACATAAGAGCTGGTAAGAAATATCTGAAACACTCACAGGTGCCAGTCCTGTTTCCACCAGTGGCAGCAGTGCTTGGTAACAAAGGATGAATCAAAACCTTCCTTCTTCTCCCTTGGCCTGCTGGCAACACTCTTCCTAATTCAGGCCATGATGTTGCTGGCTTTGAGAGTGCACTGCTGGCTCATGGTCAGCTTGTTGTCCCCCAGGACCCCCCCAGGTCTTTACCTGCAAAGTTCTTTTCCAGCTGGTTGGTCCCCAGTGTGTGCTGGTGAGTGGGGTTATTCCTCCCCAGGGGCAGGAGTTCATACTTCCCCTTGTTGCACTTCATGAAGCTCCTCTTTGCCCATCAGGGTCCCTCCTCATGGCAGCACAACCCTAAAAAAATGCACAAAGCCAGGGGAGCAGGGACTGCTCAGGGCATTTAATAGCTCAAGTGGTGGAGCCTGGAGAAAAGGACAGGCTTGGAGGTATATGTTGCTTCTCTTCTGACCACTGCCCACAGCAGAGGGGGGACACTGCCCCGGGGGCACACAGGGCACAAGGAAAAGGGGATCCTGCCAGTAGCTTGTGCCATCTCAGCCCCTTTGTGCCTTGTGCCTGCATGTCACCGTTCATTCACTCAGCATTTGACAAGAACGGAAGCAGCGACAGAGAAAGAGGTGACCAGGCAACTTTTAAGCAAAGACATCCTGGGGAATGAGTCACCGGCTTTGCGTAAGAAGCCAGACTCCTCTCTGGAGGGAGAAGGGCAGGCGGGGCAGCAGGCAAGAGGAATGTTCCAGGGAGATGCCTGCAGCATGATTAAAAGGCAGCTTGGACCTTGCATTAGGAGTCCCACCTGTGGTGGCAGCAGAGGTGAGACATCAGAGCCAAGCCAGCCCCAGCCCCACAGATCAGCTGCCCAGCGGTGGGAACACAGCTCCTCAGGGCAGGCTGCTCCCAGGAGTGGGAGAAGTCCCAGCATCCACCCAGCCCAGGCTTTTCTCAGGAAGGCTTGGGTCTGGCGGTGACATTTCTCACGGGGAAGATTATTTCCTTGAAAACCTGGGGTATTCAGGTCAAGTAAAAGCTAATAGCACAGAGGCACCAGACACACTGAGCAGGCTGAGTCAGAAGGTATTTTCCAACAGCATGTAGGGTAATTTCCGAGGACCAGAGTGTTTCATCACCATGTTTTCCTGGTGACAACTTCAGCTGTTTTGCTTTTCAGAATCAGAATTTTGTTTACTGTTTTAGCTTATTTCCTCATGGAAAGCCTTTAATTTACTCCCCAACATTACCTGTAGCTTTTCATCCCAGCAGGTGAAGGAGGTGGAAGAGGAACAGCTCTTCAGCAGCGGGGCCAGTGTACCAGAAATGGTACTTTTTTTTAAAGCTGTTCATAAAGATAACAAGAGATGAAAAGGTTGTGTCGGGAGGGGGATCTTCTCTAGTTGGAAAACACGAAATACAAGAGCAATTCTGTCTCTTCTGCTCGGGCCCTGGCATTTCTGATGTTATCTCTCCCAGAGTTTGTCCTATGGAGCAGATGCCCCTGAAGGGCAACCAAGGTGGACGAGTGGATGGGAGAGAACCTGCCAAGGGACTCACACCCATCCTAGAGGGGCTGTAGGGCCTCAAAGAGAGGAGAAAATCTGGCTGGAGAAAAAAAAATCTCAGAGCCCAGACTTGCCAGGTGAAAGGTGTTGGAAAATGCAAATTATTAATTGAAAGAACTGGGCCAGGAACCAGGGGTGCCAGGCTGAGCTGTTATCTGCTGCATCAGCTGCGAGCCTGGCTCGGGATTTCAAAATAAAATTAGACTTGCAGTATATGTCTTTAAATATTTAAATTACTTTCAGTAATTCATATGGTGACATTTAAACAAAGTACACCAAGCAAACGGCTCCCAGTGCTAAAAGGAAATGTTTGCAGGTAATAATATTTAATTTAAGAGGGAACAGCTGATATCAATGCAGAATCTTAATGCTGAATTCAACCTACATTCCTCTCTGAACGAAGTAGGGAAGAATAAATCCCCAGGCCTGTGAATGGTTAAGCATGCAGAGTGATGTTATTAAAGTGCTGGTCCCAGGCACCCCAATGAGCTGTGAATTACGTGGGTGCCCAGATATTTGCAGGATCGGGGCCTCTGTGCTTTGTGGGCTCCCAAGAGTGGGGATAGGCAGCTCCACGGTGGGAAGTGAGGACTACAGGGGCTTGGCAATGCCAGCCCCTCCTGCCCCACTCACCTGCCCTCCCACGTCCTTCTTGGGTCCTTTGCCATGAGCCTGTTCCAGTAACTAAAGGGAAAATCCATCCTGGGTAGAAACAAGCAGACTCAATGAAGTCAGGTCACACACAGCCTGGTGCTGCTGGCCAATTTGGAGAGCTCAGCCGGGTCTGTTACATCAGTCACACTGGATTTCATAACATTAGACATTTCAATGAGGGTGACTCATTCTCTCTTGAAGTGTATTGTATGTATGAGCAAAGATGATTAACTTTTGCTGAATGGTATGATTTCTGGGATGGGAACTGCTATTAATTAGGAGCGGATCTCAGATGTTCACCAACCCTGTTTTCATGGCCTACTTTGTATATTTTTCTCCATTCTACTTGTTTTTTTAGCTCAGGATAAATATTAAAGTGCTCTTCCCTGCTATCTGCAGCTAAAGCAGCAAGATGTCCAGCAAAGGCATCTGACTTTCATAGTCAGGCACAGCCCAGGGCTCAGTTTCTGTGGCCAAGCTTCAGCTTCTTGCCCCAAAAAGCTCAGTTTTCACATTAAATGCAAACAAAACAAAATAAAAGGGAGCGTCCAGCCAGCACAAGTGCAGCAGACAAAGTACTGCACGGGAGGTAAAATAAGCACAAATGGTTCAGAATACAAAATACAAAGAATTAGCCTTCCTCATCCTCCCCTGAAATTTTCTTTATTAAAGGAAACTTGGGGGCTTATGCTGATCTCGTGCTTCTGGCTGTTGAGCTTTGGGGGTTGGCAACATCGAGGATCCTTGGCATGAAGAGTCCCCAAGGTTCAGGGAGAAAGACACCCTTTAGCTGTACTGGCTGCAAAGCTGGGCAACTCACCAGTGTAAAGGTCAGGATGCTCAGCGGCTTCAACAGCATCTGCAGCACTTGGCACTGTGGTCCTGCAGGAAGTGCCTGGAGGCATTAATACCAGCCAGCTTGGAAAAGCCAGAGGAGGCAGGCCTGGGATGGGATGGAGTCGTCCTTCCCCACCCCAGGCACTGCTGGGGGCATGCTGAGGAGCAGCCAGGCTGAAACTGGGGAGCTGGCAGGCCAGTGTGGCCCAGGCTGTTTGGTGGCACCTTGCCACCCCTCGTGACTGCTGGCATCTCCACTGGGATGACAAGGTCCCCTCCCAGCCCCAGCCTGTGAGCTCCCTCTTGCTCAGTCCCATGGCACCTGCAGTGAGTGACACAACATTCCACAGAGCCAAACACACTCCACTCTGCTCTGGCTCCATTGCTGTGGGCAGCAAAACAGCCCTGGGAATAGACAAACTGTGGTCAGTCCCTCTGCCTGGCCAGCAAGGAGCGGGGAGACGTCTCTTGTCCTTGATTCCTGGTGAGACACCACCACGAGAGTCCACTGTGACTTCCAGAGAGAGAAAGGAAGGGTCAGGGCTCAGCCTGGCACTCTGCCAGCAAGGATGAGGTTCACCTGCCCTGCCCAGCACCCCATCACCGTGCACCCCTGCAGCACTCACGGCCGCTCCTCAAATGTCAGGCAGGGACTGTGGGCAGCAGTTATGCAAACAAAGGTCACTGGATCCATGCTTTTCCCTTCCATCAGCTGAGGCTGCTCAGGGCTCCTGGGCATGGGCTGGAGATCTGGTCCGGCTCCACAGCAGGCAGTGGTGATGAGCGTGAGCTAACCTAGGAGAAGCAAGCCTTAACTGTAATTGCTTGTAGAGAATCGAGATGAGATGATTTTTTTGGATCAAAACTGAGATGAGAGGGCTGGGTACTTCAGCACAAATGGGGGGTGAGCAGTGAAACTGCCCGTGTGGGTGTCCAGCCCTAACCTGAAGGGGGGCTAGAAACTTGTAGGGTAGTGACTTGCCCTCCTCTCCTCCTCCCACTTGTCACCAGGCAGTGGGCAGAGACAGCTCCTCTTCCCCAGCAGCTCGCTGTGACCTGCTCTGGTTGAGGCACTGCAGCCAGGCTGGTGGCAGCAGACCTGGAAGCACCTGCTGCCCAAGGTTCCCCATAACCACCACAGCTCCCAGGCTTGCTCTCAAGAATCTGGGAGGTGTGGGAACACTAGAAGGCTTCTCCTTTCAGACTCAGTGGTAAGGAATGTGCATTCAAAACAGAGATAGGGTTAGTTTCTCCCGAGCTCGCGGGAGGACGTCACTTCTCCCGCGCACCTGTCCAACCGTGAGTATCCTTGAGATAAACTGGCATCTCAGAGGGGCAGGAAAACCCCACAATTTGCCTAAATTTTGCACTTACGAAATGCCACTGGCAGACGAAAGCATGGATGTATGATTCAAGCACAACTCTGGGACGTGTGAGCCACTGCCCAAACTCCAGGCGTGCGAAAAAGGCTGAGCCACGCAACACCAAGGGTTTCCTTGGAGACTGACGCAGAAGGGGCTTCTCCTCCAGAGGCTCCTTCTCCCTGCCTTACCAGGCAAAGAAACACCCTAAATCCCATCTCACCCAAGAGAGCCAGTAAGGTTCCACTGTGCCACTGGAGGAAGGGGCAGTGCTGGGAGCCTGGAGGGGGGGTTTTCCTCACCTCCAGAGTAGTTTTGCTGTTGCACAGCTCACTCAAGCTTCTAAAAATGTTTGCTGGAGCAACTGTCTCTGAGGCAATTTCCATAACAATGGGTGCAGAAGAACGATCCAGGCTGCTGGCTGACTTGCTGCTCACAGGCTCCCCGAGGAACTGGCACATTGCTATTCCAGCGGTGAGATGCCCATGTGAATGAGAGGAAAAGAATATTTAACTGAACTGCTCCCAGCAGCTGCTGGAAAGCTCTGCAGGGGCCCTGCTGTCCATTGCCCAGCTGAGGGGGCATGGGCAGGGCTCCCCCAGCCTGGCCCCAAGGCATTGCCAGACCGTGGGAGCCTGCAGGCAAAAAAAACACCCCCAGCAAAGGTACAAAACCACAGAAAGTGCTTCCACACCTTCATCACTGCCCATAAACACGCACCAGTGCAGGCAGTCAGCACAGGGGAAGGACCAGTGCCAGAGACAGCAGCAGCAGCAGCATATGCAACTCTAACATCGGCCAAGGCTCCTGCTTCATGAGGCCTTGGTCCTTGAAAGGCCACGAGTTACTCAAAGCCCCCATGTGTTGCTATTTAATCTCTCAGTTCTGGGTGCTCAGCCCCAGCCAAACCCACCCAGGGTTTGCTCCTTCCCCACATAATTTCCACTTGACCCATTAAAGTCAAAACTCAGCCACTGCCTCCGGTTTGAATCGCTCACATCCTGCCACTACAGCTTTGTTTAAATCTGTGCAGAGCTCAACCTGTTGTCAGACAGACACTAATTTGTGTATTTCTAATTATTTGTTTCCATCTTAAAACCTGTTTTTCAGCAGATTGCAGCTTTATTTTAATACATGCTTGGCTAGAGCTTGATATACTGGTTGCCAGTAACCTAGACACAGAGTGGGATTACATTGCAGAGGGAGAGCAAGGGGAAAAAAGAGACTGAGTTAAACTGAATTAAGAGTCTGTTCATAAAAATGAACTAAGCAAAACTGTGGAAAAAGAAGCAATTTTGCATCACAGAAGATTCTGTTTCTATATTCCTCTGTTTTTACCCCTCGAAATAAGATGAACCTCAGCATTCACAAAGGGCATTTGAACCACCTCCGTTTTATGTGATTAAAGCTCTTAAACTTATGTTTAATCCCTTTTATACTCACATGCTTGGTGTTAAAAATTAGCTCATCAGTGGATGACCAAACCAGGATCAATTTCCAACTGCTTTCCCAGGATGTGGATGCAGGAAATCAGGCACCATCCTCAGCCTCTTCAATCAAGCAATGCTCCAACAGCTTTTTACCCTTCCAGAGGCAGGCTGGGCCCTTTGGTTTTTGGTCATTTTCACACCATTCAGAGGGCAGAAGAAGTAGCTCCAAGGCAGCACTGCTGCAAGACACCAGGCAGCACAACCAGTGCTCCAGGACCTGTCTTTGTTTCATCCTTCCTCTGTAGCACTTTCTCCTGGGCTGAGGACTTTGGGGTCTCTGATCTAAAATGCAAATTAGGAGACTGACTCTGAGGCAATTAAACCAAATGAAAACCTTATGCTATTTGCTGGCAAACACTGACTTCCCAGTGGAGGCTATGTTCTGTATAGCCATACTGCTCTGGCTGCACACCCACCCTGCCAGGGAGAGCAGGAAGGGTGCTGCGGGGCCTGCAGCTGGCTGGGGAGACCCTCCCCAGCTCCTGGGCCAACCAAAGCTTAAACAGTGACAAAAAGGGCCAGGCTAGATTTTTTCCCATGATAGTGCTGGCTGCTCCTTGCATTTGAAAACCCAGCAAGAGCATTCCACAGGCAAGAAAGCTTCAGTCCCCCCAGCGCAGGGGCTGTGGTTGCCTACCAGGATGGGCAGGAGCCACGTGAGGACTGGCAGTGTGCATCCAGTAGCACCCTGTTTCCCCATTGTAGCCTGGCCTCTGGCTGCCTCCACAGTCAGCTGCAGGGGGAGAGTGAAATCCTTGTGCAGTTCATGCCAGCAGTGAAGACAATCCAAGGACATTGATTTCTCTGCTGGTTTTTTGTCAGTAGACAAAGAGGCCCAAAGAGCTGGTGCAATCAGAGGGTGTAAGGATGCACTTCCCAGGAGGAACTAAATGCTAGAGGGAATCAGCTTTTCTGTGCCAACAAAGTGGCCTGGGACTTTGGAGGAGACACTCACTTTGAGGACACAGCCCAGAGCACCTGGTCCATCTTGTTTCTGGTGTGCAGAGGCCCAGCTGGAAGGCTGACAGTGTGCAGCATCTCCAGATGAGCACCACAGATCTCCTCCCTCTTGCAGGTCTTGGACTCTGAGGGACACATAACCCAGAGCAATCACTCCATTGGTACCCAGCAGCATGGAGGTCACCTGGGAAAAGGCCTTTGCCAGGCCCAATTTTGGTGTGTGCATCAGCAGCAAGGGGATTGGCTGGGGGTGGCCATGGCCTCCTGGTTTGGTCCTTGCAGAGGAGCATCTCATCCAGACACCTCTGCCTCCACCTGTCAGCTGAGCCAAAGGGTCCATCACCTCCATGTAGCCCTTCCCTATTTCCACCCTAGGACTTTTTTGGTGAGCTTCTAGTCCTTTTTTTTTTTTTATGCTAAAAAGGAAAGGAAAAAGGAAGAGAACACACTTGATGTTAAGGAAATCTAACAGAGCATGCAGCAATCCAACTGCTCAGACACATATGCCACCTTCCTTCTGCTCTGTACCAGTGAGGCTGTGCCATATTTAGATCTGGCTCCATCTCTCACAAACTTGACCAACTGTTCCTCCACAGTGTCATCTTCACTTGTTTACCCCCAAACTGTTCACCGAAACCTTCAATTCGGTGAGGGGGAAATAACAGAAAAAAAGTAGGGTTTATTTTTAATGATGGTAAAAGCACTAAACACCAAGAAAGCCAGATCGCAACAGTGCTGGGTAGAGAGGTCAAGAGATCCCTTGGTGAGTCATCATCTTCACCAGGGACCTCCCATGTGGGGAGGCAGATGTGTTTCCTAGAAATTGCTGCACTGTGGTGGCAGGGCCAGCCCTGTGCTTGCTGCCAGGGCAGTGTCCGGCCGGCCGAGTCATCGGGATCCTCCTAAGAGTGTGTGCTCCCAGAGGAGAGGCGAGTTCAGCCACATGTGAAGGCAGGCACAGACCTGTGGCCACATTTGGGTTGCCCCGGTGTAATGCCTGGGAGGAGCCGCCCCACGGAGAGTGCTGAGCACTTGCAGAGCAAACAGGTAACAGCCTCCTTGAGGGAATGGCTCAGAAGTCCAGCTCTGTTACAGGTAGGAAACATGGGAAAATACAGAAGGGCTTTTCCCTACCTTCCTCATTGTGCCAGACCACGACAAGCTCACCACAGTGTTTGGGACCAGGAGTCAGGCAGAGATGATCTTGCTCAACACTTCCAGCCATGGTTATGTCACACACGAGGCAGAGGTGAGTCCTTGTCCTCCTGCTCACAGTAAAGCCTTGGAGGCTTCTCACTGAACGTCCACATCTCTTCCTGGCTTGCCCTTGATGTCAAGCCACTGCTGTCTCCTGGAGGACGTGGTGACAGCCCATCCTGCAGCCTTGCAGGAGGCTGCAGCATGAGTCCTCACAGCCCCCACACCAGCACTGGGCCTTGTATACAAACCTTTCTCACGCTCAAGGCAGATCTTACGGAGTTAAGAGCATTTTCTTGGCTTGCTGTGCTGGTGGAAGAGCAACTTACAGCACAGCAGATGGATAAAATTCTAATTTGGGTTTCACATGATTTATATAAATAGGCTTAGACGAGGTTGCGCAGAGATGGCGCAGTCATCTGCCAGCCCTGCTCTGTTTACCTCGGGACCCTCTCCTCCCTTCCCGTTAATGAGCACCCCAGTAGCGTCTCGTGCGTTCACAGTGACAAGTCATCCCAGCCTGTGTCATCCTCCTGCAAACCACACAGCTCCAGTCTGCGCTCCCAGCGAGGCAAAGCAGCCTCCTGCCATCCCACCCAGCTGCGGACAGCGTTTACACTCATCCCTCAGAACCGAACTGCCAAGGAGCACGGCAGAGCTGTGGCTCCCACGGTCGGCTCAGGAGATGGGGCAGGGTGAAGATGGACCACGCTGCTGGATATGGAAAAGAATGGGGCTCTCCCAAGCCTCCCCTCACTCACAGGACACCAGTTTCTGCTGGTGCTTCTCCCCACATCAGAGCGAGGGGACACCAGTGGCCCCACTGCCACCCTCATGAAGATGACACAGCAGCTCCCTCGCCTTCTCCCCGCTAGTGCTTCACTAAGGAGCCTTCATCATCTCCTGATCAAAAAACCAGCAAGCACATCTTGGTTGGGTTTAGTTAGAAACCCCTGCTACATCCCTACCGCTCCTCTGCCTCTTGAAGGGTCACATGGGCTGCTGCTGTGCCAAGAAGGGGCTTGTGACAAACAGATGAAGGCCTGGCTGCTGTGAGGCTCCAGCATGCATCTGCTGAACATCTCCATCACACATGTACTCTACCCTAGAAATCAAGTGTGACTTGATCCCAGCAAAAAAAAAAATAGAGAATTAAGCTGCTGGTTATGTAACTTTTGTGAAGTTTGGTGGCTGATGAGAAGGTGATGGGTGCGTGTTTAGCTTTTACCGGCTGGTAAGAGCCCATGAGCACCCTTTACTCCACAACATAAACCCATCGGAAACCAGGCTTTGCTGGTTTCCGCTGCTCATGGAACAAGTTGTATTATTTGTATAGTTGTATCCTAGGAGCCCTAGTTTCTGTCCTGCATAGTCCCTGGCATGAGCAGTATTTTCCATGGTCAGCCCAGAGGGAAGGAGCAGACTTTAACCCCTTTGGTGCAAAGAGCACATTCCCACATCAGGTTATTTCCACGCAACCTTCCCCATGAGAAAAAAAGCCCTCCTAGGATCAAGGCACATGCAGAGAAATCCCAAAGCTAGCAAGGATTTGCCTCCAGGAGAGGTGCAGAGAGCTTGGGAGCAGCTGGGGAGGCTCCTGGGGGGGCTGGTTGAGCTTTCGCAGCTCCTGCAACTGGTACCATGCTCAAACCCCACCTTCAGCCTGGCCTCTGCCAAAACTCTCTGATTCAGCCACTCTTTTCCAGCCATGCATCATAAACCAGCTCTTCACCAGCCAGGATAAGACACAGGTCACCAAACAAATAAAGAAAAAAGGATTTCTCAAGGGACAAGGCAGATACACCTCCACGATGTGACCTAGTTTCCCTGCTTGTGCATCTGTGGTGGAGGAGAGGAGTGATGTTACACTGGCAGTTGGAACTCCCTCTACCCAGGGAGGTGCAAGCAAAGCCAGGGTCCTTGTCCTGGGCCGCTGCAGAAGATAACAGGAATTTCATCAGGCACCTCTGGCTTGAGAGAGGCAGGCCAAGGCTTTGCAGAAGTGACACATGACTTGGAGCTTCTTGGGAACTGAGTGTGGTACACACTGCAGGACCCCGAGTTGAGGAGGCAAGGATTCAAGGAGGCCTTTGGGGAGATCCTAGCCATCCCAGAGCACAGCTACCCTGGTCCTTGTTGTCTGACCTCATCACTGAGGTCCTCCTTAGCCACCTGAGCCACTCCTACATGTGCCTGCTGTCCAAGACCTGCCCCAAATTATGAGAGAGAAGAAAGGAAGCACAGAAAGCTAGAGATTCAGGTCAAGGAGTGGTGGGGTCCTGGGACACCAGCAATCCCTGAGGGAGCAGAAAATGTGCTGCAGCTGAGGGCTAGGACAGATGCAAGGTGCAGGACCAGGTGGTCCATAGAGCCCTCACCATCAGCACCTCTCAGGGCATAGAGCCAGTCTGGGCTCTTTGTGGTGTGGGCCTAAAAAGCTGAACCATGAGACTACTGTTGAGCTTGGAGACTCAGTTTCTGCTGCCCTGGGAAAGAAGAGCAAGTGGCAGATTCAGGGTACTGCCAGCTGTTGGGAGAGCATTCCTGCATTTCCCCAGTGCCCACAACAGTGGCAGACGAGAAACACATCACCTGGAAAATATTTGGGATTTTCTTCCAATAGTTGCTGCCTCTGTGCTGAGGACATGCAAGAAAAAGAGGCTGGATCTTCTGTCAAAACCATTTCCCACTATTGCAGTGTTTTTAAGCAAAACCCAAAGCATTCCAAAAGAGACTGAGGAAGCCACCCATAAACCAGAGAACATAACTTAGGGGATGCAAGGCAGCTCGTGGGTTTGGGTGTCGTGCTCAGGGGAGGAGTGGCAGCCTCTGCCCCGGCATCACCCAGGGAGGAGGAGAGGGAGCCCTGGGCTCAGGCATTGGTATCCCCTCCTGCTTCCACCACAGGACCTCACCCACCCCATCACCCAGTACCTCTCACTGTCAGAAAGAGCTGGGGCCATGCCAACCAGGAAAGCCAAAGTCCCCAAGCAAAATCATTTTTAGAGAAGGGGAAGCTTTGAGCACCACCAGTGTGGAGCAGCAACGGAAGCAGGAATCCCAAGCAAGGATGATCCCTGCCCCAGACCCCAGTTTGGGCCTGAAAAAGGCAATTGTTCCACCTGCCAGGATGTCTCTGCTGATGGAAATTCAGCTCCCACCAAAGCTGTTCATGTTTCTCACCCGTGTCACAAATAATTTGTGGCTGGACTCAAGTCAGTAGAGTTGGTGCACATCCCTCGCAGTGTTTCAAACAGAAATCTCTCCAAAAAGGTTTCAGAACTGGATGATTTGATTGGTTTTGGATTTCATTTCAGCCTTCATTCTTCTAAGCTTTTTAAAAAGCACCTACTTAGTACTAATGGCAAAGATATTTCCTGAGAGAAGTTTGAGAAGCTTGTAGAGGCAATGTTTGAAAAATAATTAAAAAAATAATAAAACTTTGCTAGCTCCCAGGAGCAAAGAACAAAAATCATGCTTGTCTAGAAACATACTTACACCAGCAGGATTTTACTAGGATGTGAACCAGCAGTTGGTACAGACTCAGTCTCTGAGGCTTTCATGGTGTATTAATGATAAAGTGACATTATTTTAGTCCCAAGCAGTAGAATTTCTTAAAACATCTTCAGCAAATATCCCATCATCAGGCTGGAAGCTTTGATGAACAGGACAGCTGATTCCTGACACAGACCACAAATCACTGATTCCCCTCACCAGATGACGTTAAGCACGGATTTCAGCGAGAACCATTAAGGACAAATCCAGACCTCGATCCGTGCCAGAAGAAAAGCTTGGATGAAGCATCTGCTGAAGTCTCTTCCTTGAGCAAGGGACTTTCCAGAGCTGGGCTCTCAGGGTCACTGCCTCTCCTCTGGGACACAGAGGCACTGCCTCGCTTATGTGGGTCTCACAGGGAGTGAAGTCACTGCCACCACAGAGCCACTCACAGGGAGCCGTCCCCATTCACAACTCCTGTTCATTCACTCCAGAGCATTCCCATGGCCAGATGTTTATCACTCTTGTGTCACTCTCCAACTATTTTGCAGGGGCGGTAGGAGTGGCTTTTGGAAGACATTTGAGTACACACACAATTGCAGGCTTGGGCTGCTGTGTGTTTGGACAAACAAATAAGTGCAACTAATCAATAGAAATGTTTCTATGTTAGCCATGACTGTGAAGAAAGCATCCCAGCTCTGCCAGATAAAAAATCCCCACGGGGATTTCTAAGTGCTCCCAAAACCAGCTGGACTAAAACCTTCCCTGTTCACCCCACGGATGAGCGTGGGAGAGGAATTAAAAAAAAAAATTAAGAAGTTTTTAAAAAATAAAACTAAGCAAACAAAACAGCCCCCCCATTACCTTTGCACAGTCGGTCTGAACTGCCAGAAGAGCAACACGGCCCCAGGTCCGGTGTCTCCTGCCCTGAGCTGGACATGCAGCACTGATGGACGTGGTTGGTCCTGCAGCTCCCAGCACCCAGGGACCAGCAACTTCTGTCCAAAACATATGCCACTCATAAACAAATACTCAAATATATCTAGTACCCCATTTATAACACACCTAGAAGGGTCGGCCTGTCTAGGAATACTTCTCCTGGCCTCGTGGCATGGCAGGAGCAGGCAACCAGCAGTCCTGGTATGACACTAGTAGTGGTTTTCTACCCCAGACAAAGCTGTCCCAGACCCACTTGCCTCAATGTCCAAAACAGATGCTGGCAGGATCTGGTATTCCTGCTGGTTACAGGCAGTGACAAGCTGTTTCTGTATCTGGAGATGGTTTTAAGAAGGCAAATGATGAATTAGCAGCTGCTGCTTGGTGAGGTTTCTCAGACGGTTCAGACAGAACAATGTGGGCTTGGTCTAGAGTCAGGACCTGTACAGGGGAGGCAAAGCACAAATGGGGCACCCACTGCCATCCTAAGTGCTCCAAGATTATTGCAGCACCTAGGGAGCCAGATCCCAGGTGTGTGCCCACCCCAGGCAGGGCAGTCCATCCCGCTGAGGTCAGTAGGGCAAACATGCTCAACAACTGGCAGTAGGGACCAGCCCTGATCCCTCTGCAACCAGCAGCTAAAACTCCCATTTAACTTCAATGGAGCCAGGATTTGGCCTGGATTTCAACTAAACCCATGACCATCAATGGCTTTGCTTGGGGTTTAATTCCCTGGATTAAAGGGAATTTTCCCCACAGTCACCCAGGGATCCACAGCTCCCTGGGCAGAGCTCAACACCCACATCCCACCACTGCTCCATCGCGGCCAACGAGAGCAAACCAACCCGAGGTCCCTGGGCTTTAAACAAACAAACAGCAAAAAGAGAAAGAAAAAGAAAAAAAGAAGAGCATTTATTTTCCCTGCAGCTGTGCTCCCCCGGACAGAGGATTTCTGTGGCAGGACAATAACGCTTTATGCAGCGAGGTTAAGTTGCAGTTACTTGAAACTATCAGCTCTTGTGTTCGAATCATCTTATTACCTCCACAATCAAACAAGGCTTCCCCATCGGCAACTATTCGGTCATGCTGTTAAAACTGGACACAGAGGTCAAGCAGGGCTGGATTTAAAGTGATCTAATGGGAGGCTGCTTTGGGGAGGGGGATACAGCCAGCTTGCTACCCTGCACTCTTGACTACCAAAGGAAAAAATGTTGCATTACCAGATCCCAGTGCAGTCTTGGCTCTCAGGAGTTACCTCAACACCTTGGAAAGGGAAGGTGAGGGAGCAACACAGAATCCCCTGGGGATGCACATAAGCAGGGAGCTGTGTGGAAGAGTCTTCTGGGATGCAGCAATGCACTAAGGAAACTCCCAAATGCACAAGGCTGAGGCAAGTGGTAACTCACATTATGGCTTCTCTCAAACTAAAAGCCTTTTTCTCCCAGCCAGCTTCCTTCACAATTCCTTGGGATCTCAGTCCAGGGGAAGGAGGAGGGCAGGAGAAAGGATAAAACACAGAGGAGTTAAGCAGAGCCTTTCTAAAAACAGCATGAACGTTCCAACAAAGCAGGACCAGCTCTGCCTGCCACAAGCCCAGCACACCTGGGGTCTGCATCCCAGATCCACACAACCCTTCCTTAGGTCCTGTCCTTACAGGCACCACCAGCCCGAGTTCTCTGGCTGGCTCCTCAATGCGAGGTGACATCCTGGCCTTTCCAGGCAAGCCCCAACCGCTCTGCAAGATGGAGCAGGAGCTCAGCTGGGCTTTCTGCACGAGCCAGCTCTGCCTGTCCCTCAGGGGCACCAGCCAAGAGCCAGAGTCACTGCAAGCAGCAGCTCTGGTGGAGGCAGTCAGGTGCTCGGGGGATCGTCTAGACATGACCCATTCCATACGCCCCGTTTCACATCTTCCATCTTCAAGTAGCTCTTAAGTAGCTTGATTTAATGATCCCCACACGCTTCCACCCAAGCCTCGGGCTACGGGGAAATTTGCACAGGTGTGGCAGCATTTCATTACACAGCAAGACGGAACAGCTCCCGGAGCTTCCCGAGCACTCCGGATGCTGCCACTGCTCCAGATGCTCACCTCCTGCTCCAGATGCTCCCTGTGCAGCCAACACAACCCTGGACAGCTCTGAGCTCACTGTCCTTGGGCGGAGGGGCTGGCACAGATCCGAGGCACAGCCACGTCCCACAGCCTTGCTTCGTCTCGCACTTGCCCTCACTTGGTCACCCAGGGTGTGAAAAGGCAAAGGATAAACGAGCTTAGTCCCACAGTTATTTAATACAGGATTGAAATGGGTCCATTTCCTAGGAGACAGCCTGCTAGAAGTCTTCCTGGCTCTTCTCAGAGCACTAACCCAAACACAGGAAAGGCTTTGCCACATCTTCCCATTGGGGGAGCAGAGAGGAGCAGGTCCTGCTTTTTGGTTTGGGTGGGTTTTTTTAATTAATATTATTTTCAGAGGTTATTGATCCTGACTTTCAAAGAACAGTCATCTCTCATCTCGGGCTCTGGCTCTGCAGGATGCCAGCGAGACCCCACATTTGTGGATGGGTGCTCACACTGGTTTGGATCAAAGCAAGGGAGGCAGCACACATCAACCACAACCCCATCAACCACTTCCCAGGGCTGTGGCCAGCACCCTTCCAATGGGGCTAGTGAAATTAATTCATTAATTGTTTCCATCCTTTGGTGTTTCATGTGAGACAAGAACCATCCATTCTGCATTTCTTCCCCTTCCCAATGCAAAACAGATCATTTTAAAGCATTTTTTTGGTACTCCAGTAGAGATGTTTTCAATGAACTTACTTCTCACTCCTGCATAGGAGAGGGGACAGGACCAGGGTCCTGCCTGCACAATAAACAGTGGATGGGCTCTGGCCACGTGCAGCCTTTGCACCAGGAGTGGAGTGTTTCTGCAATGCTCTTCTGTGGTGATGGTGGGTTGCAGGGATAACTCACAGTGTGCTGGGGCCTGGGTTCTTCCACCAGCAACTGATTCAGTCCAAAAACGTTGTGCTGCATTAGGAGATCTCCCCTTGTGCTTCAGGTGTAAATGGGGAAATCCTCACCTCACAGGGCTGTGGGGTCCAGGGACAGCCATAATGGATTCACCATTCAGGCAGAGATCATTTACTTTGAGAAAAGAAGTCAAATAGCCACCTTCCTCCTTCCCCTTCCTCCAGAGCCACACGAACCCACCGCTGGTACCCACGAGCCACAACACACCTTGAGGCTCTCGGGGCTTGAGCAGAGCCACCAAAAGCCACATTATCCTCCAGGGTGGCTGGCCCCTCTCTGAACGGCATCGCCTCAGCGTTTGCAAACAGTGCCTGCATTGGGGCAGGAGGATGAAGACATCACTGGGCTCCCTTCCAGCAGCCCTCTCTGAGAGGAGGGGGGACCAATTCCCGGAGCGGCTCCGTGAAGTCATTCTCTCCCGGCATGCCTTCTCCTCCCTGACATCATCATCTGGGGAAAGCAGGCACAACAGCGGTCCCTTGCTGCGGGATTTGCTTCCAGAGGTGCCAGGAAAGGATGCCTTGCTGCTCATGGGGAGTTGTCCACCGCTCTGGGAGCACGGCTGGGGGCACCTGAGTGAACAGCCACGGAGCAGCAGCCCCAGAGGAGTCGTGTTCAGTGAGCTGGGTGGCACTGGGGGGAAAAGGCTCAGAAAAAGCAAGAAGAAAGTGACTCACCCAGCATTGAACCTGGCTTGGGAGCACCCTCATGCTGCACATAACCAGGAGTCCACTGGCTCAGCAAAGCCTTGGTCTACCCTGAGGACAAGCTCCCGCAGCAGAGATCCACGTGGTCCAGAGCAGGGATGCATGTGGATGCAGAAACCTTCATGTAAATGAGAGAAACAAGGCATTAGTGATGAACATCTTCCAGAGGGGTTCTGATGGGAAAGGAGGGCACGCATCATTCACTGCAGCTGGGAGCTTTCCTCCAGTCCCTTTTGTCCTTTGTTGCCACACAACGCCCAGGCAGAGAGGGCAAGAGCTGTCCTGAGGGGTGCTGGATGCCCAGGCTGCTGACCCTGGGAGCAGGGCATTGCTCAGAGCCAGGGAGAGCAGCTGGGAGAAGCTCCCAAATTAACAGGAGTGGGAGCTGAGCTCCTGTGTTGAAAGTATTTAAAGATTTCCTGGGCTGGCATCTTCACCTCCTCGTCCACCCCAGCAGCACTCGCCATGGTTTTACCCAAGGAGAGTCCCAGTATAGCTCACCCTGCAGTGCTGGGGCTGCATCCTGCCCTTCCAAAAGCTTTTCTCTGCTCAGGATGCCCCTGCCAACACACCCACAAACACTCACCTTCTGCCCCAGTTTCCAAATCAAATGTTTAAATTTAAGGCAGGATGAATTATTTCAATTGGGTGGTGGGGGAGAATGACAGACAGGCAGAAATCGGAGTTTCTTTGCCTTTTTCCAGAAATCAGCATGAGCCACTTCTTTACTCTTTAAATTTCTTAAGGGATTAACCAGAAAATGAAACATTCGGCCTTTCCATTACTTCTCCCCCTTTTTTCCTCATTTTTTTGCTATGACAAAAAGAAAAAAAAAAGGAAGAGAATGTTGAAACCATTGGAAATCATTTACAAAAGGGAAGAAACTTTCATTTCTCAACTACAGCACAAGAAAGATTCATAGTCTTTTTTAGCATCTTGACTTTCTACCTTCTTACTCTTAGAATTTAGCAGAACAGGGAAAGTTCTTAAAAAGATTCAGGGGGAAAAAAAGCTTGATTCTGGCTTCTCATGACCAAGAGAAGTTGCCAAAACGTGCTGCTACTTGAAGACTATGTACTAGTGCTAGAGCTGTGATGGTGGTGGAAACAGTCAAGAAATTCTTTTAAATTAAGTGGGTTTCATGGTGTTTTTTCCATTTTACGTGTTCACTTCCATGCCACTGGGGTTCAATAACAGGCTGAAATGTGGCCCTTGGGCTCAAAACTCTCTACCAGAGGCAGTAAGACTCCTCCAGGCTGGGGACTGCAGCAAAGCCACACGTGGCCACTGCGAAGCTGCATAACCTGGTGTTTGCTTGCTTGACTTCCAAAACGCAACTTGAGAACAAGCTTCCCCTGAGCAACTTCCATGACTGAGATAATCATGGATCTGTCAGTGGCTGCTCTGCCAGCAAGGGAGGATGCACTCGGGAATGACAGGACCTATCCTGACTGCCGGTGGTTGACTGTCCACAGATTTTTTGGATGGCCAGGGGATCCCAGCCTAGGAATGAGGTCTCCTTGAACATCCCAGCCCGACAGAGAGAAAACACATAATGTGAAGGTTGCACATAGCTCAGTGTGCTTTAAAGGTGCTCTTTAAGGGGCCTCCAAGCTCTTGCAAATCAAGCGCACCTAAATACCAAACGGATTTCAACCTAATTCCAGAGGTAACACCACCTACTCACATGCCAAAGCAGGGAGCAGACAGCTTGCTAATTAACGTGTCTCCTTCATGAATATTGCACTTCCCGAGGAGGAATTCGGTGCTCGAGCAAAAGGCTGCTGAAAGAGAGCCAAGCTGGGCTGAGCAGCGAGGATGCTTCAAAACTGCTGAGATCGCTCTGCAGGGCTGGTGCTAAAGCCAGCCCCTGGTTTTCACACCCACCAGGTGAGTCAGCAGGTGCTACCTGGGTGCCACCTCCAAAAACACACAGGCAGCTCACAGCCACATTACAGGGGACACAGGAGAGGTGGTGGCAGGGACGAGGAGGGGGAAACACAAAACCACAGGATGTTTGTGGTTCTGAGCCTCTGTGACATTTGACAGTACCTGGGGCCTGACCTTTCTTTAACCCACATCCGAACCCTTGCCTAAAACCTTCTGGGAGCTTCCTTGAGCTGCAATACCCCACTGGTATTGGCATAATTTCTGCCACAAGCAGCCCCCCAGGCAGTGTCCAACAGTCTCATCCACCCACAGGAGTTACACAGCCCAGGGAAGGGCCAGCACAGCCCCACACTCTGCACTGGGAAGAGCTGGCTTTGCCAGCCTGGCTGGAGATGGGTTTCCCTTGGCCAGGGCTCTCAAGGCTCTCCCATGATGAGGAATTACCTCAGTCTCTATTTGTTTCCCCTGGCAGCCTCCTTTGATGTTCCTCATGAGACTGAGCAAGGAGACACCACAGAAATCTCACCGAGATACATCTGGCATTCTCAGAATGTAGTGAGTTTCCTCAGTGTCCTCCCCACACCAGCATCCCCACTTCAGCACAGCTGAGATGCCTGCTCTTCCAAAACCCATGTGGTGCCTAAATCCTGTTGGTCTTGTGTATGGTTAGATACTTAAGCAGAAATTGCTCTCCTAAAGCCCTCCAGGAATCTCGCTTTGCTAGTTGTAGCTGAAGTGGACAGGGAAAGCCAGGTCTGACCACATTAAAAGGGTTCCTGCTTTTTGACCAGAGTGCTGGAACTGCCATGCTGAGGTCAAAGGAGTCATCATTTTGGATGCCTGCAAACTCAGCCACTGTGCTGATAGTGCTGAAGAGCCATGAAACAACAGTCCCATCAACCAACACCACCAACCAACCAGTAGTCTTATCATGCCCTCATTTGGAAGAAGCTTCCAGAGACACCAAATGGACCCCCTTGGGCCATACCACATCTCCAGAGAAGATCTTCATCACTGGCCAAGCCAAGACAGTCCTGCCCAGCTCTTGCTCTTCAGAGATCAAATTCAAGGGCTGTGTGAGAGCTCTCCCCACAGCCTGGCTGTTGGCATTCAGCCCATGACAAACAGCCACCCCAGCAGCAGACTCCAAGCTGAGACTGGATCCAACAGCATCCTTTAAAGCCACTTCTGAGAAAATACACAGCCCATGTTACTGCCCTGTGGGAGAGGTAGAGACTTCGGGACCTGCTCTGTAGCCCTTTCTGGACAATCACCCTTTAAATTTAGCTCCTACTACAAGTGTGCATGGAATCCACTTGGCAGAGAAAAAAACCTCCTAGAAAACTCACTCAGTCTTCGTTAGCATTTTCCAGCACTGCACAAACAGCCTCCCTAGCCACTGGAGTCTGCTTTTATTCAGCCAAAATGCTCCTCTGCAAGTCATTTGAGCTCTTACCTCAGAAAACTCCTTTTCCTGCCTGCACACACAGGGAAGGAGCTGTAATCTGACTTTATTATGGCCTCACACGTGCTGTTGCTGTGGAAACGGACACGATGCTACCGGGTCCAACTACAGCACGGCCGGGCACAGGCAGGGACACAGCCAGGATCCTTGAGGCAGTGCTGCTGGAGAGCCCAAAGCTGGCCAAGTTGCTAAAAAATCCCCATGACCAACTGCAGTAAAATCCCCTCAGACCAGGATGCTCAGGGTAGCACCAAAGGCACATACCTGGAGACCACTGGAGATCACTCGATGTTATTCCTGTAGCGATGCAGTTCTCACTATGTCGTTATTAACACAACTGCTCAATTAGCTCCACTGAAAAGCCATTAATAACCCTCAAGTAAAGCTAAGGGACAAACATCCCCAAACATTTCTTGTTCTTCAGGTAACTATTCTCAAGGACTTGCTGTCTTCAATGGTTTGGCCAGTCAAGGCAACCTCATGAGGGGGTGATACCAGCCACCACAAGAAAACAGAGAGAAATCTTCATCAGTGAAGAGCAGGACATCTCCCAACCTGATATACACTCAGTCTTCAACATGCAAGATACAAGAGGAGGAAGAAAGGGAAAGGTCTCACCACCCTCCTTCTCCCTGTGGAGTGGGCACTGCCTGGGTAGAGCTACTCCTCAGGAAAATAAGAGCATCCTTGGGGCTGGGGGTATTTCCCCAGAGCCTGGAGGTCAAGCTTAAGTTGTGATAAAAAAGGAGGATATAAATTGTTGGAGAGGATGCCATCTTCTGTTAATCACGATGGACTGGAAACCATCTTTGATGGGGAAACAGAGCTTTAACCACAGCTTGACAAGGGCTGCCTGCCAGGGAAGGATGGGTCTACACATGCCCCTGGGTTTTTTTAACCTTTATGGCATCCCTCATGGTTGCTGCTGGAAACAGGAGATGTTTCCAGTTGGTCCCACAAAGGCTGTACTTGTCTACTCGTTCAGCTCTGTGCTCAAACCCTGTGCTGGGCAGGGCTGGGGAGAAACCCAAACCCAAGGCTTGGGCTGTGCCAAAAGGGACCAGGCACAGTCCCGCACCGAGGGCCAGGGTGGAGGATGGCTGCCCTGAGCTCAGCAGCAGCAAGGGCTTTGTAAGCACAGACAGATGAGAAACAGGTAAGTCCTGTGAGTTTAAGTTAAGTTAGTTACCAGCAGAAAAGGCTGGATGGGGCTTTGAGCAACCTTGTCAAGTGAAAGGTGTCCCTGCCCAATGATCTTTAAGGTCCCTTCCAGTTCAAACCATTCTACGGTTCTGTGATTCTGTGATGATGTAGATTGTGAAGGAAAGCAAAGTAAAAATTTCATTCACTGAGAACAAAGAAGACAAAGCTTCAGCTCTCACATGTGGGACTTGAGGAAGCAAAACTGCTCCTCTAAGGCCCATGGAAGGAAGGAAAGGCATCACAGCACCAACCTGCCCACCGGTGTCCAACTGCAGGGAGTGTCAGTGCTCCAAACCCCTCACCCTGGAGCAGCCACGGAAAGGCCCGGAGGGGCACCCGGCGCCACGTCACCGAGGTTCATCTCTGCGGCTGGGCAGGAACGCTTTCAGCACCCTCCCATCCTGGAGCCAGCGTGAGTTATCTGGCAGGCTGGTGTTTGGCAGGCAGGAGCCGTGGCAGAGGGAGATCCCACATCAAGCACATGCCTCTGTGCTGCACCCCGGCTGGGGCTCCCAGCCCGCATGGCTGAGCACCCCGCTCACAATTACAGATCTGCCGCTTTCCTTGGCCCTTTCATCATCCCAGACATGCAATACCAACCAAACCTGGCAACTGCCTCTCATTTACCTTCCCAAGAGTTGAAAGAACCTGGCCAATATTTATAGCAGCAAATCAAGCTAGTAGTGCACCAGCTGCTTTGAGAAAAATAGCTGAGGCTTTTCTGAGCCCAGGATTATTTATTATTCATCAAATTGGATTCCAGCTTCCCCCTTCAATTTCATGTGTTATTTTTCCTAAAATATGGATTTTAGTTTAGGTTGAGGTTTTACTTAAGGATTAAAAAGGAGGACACAGAAAGGGAAGACAGGAGAAAGGAAAGCAGGAGAATTAAA